CCGCGAGTGGGGTGGGGCTTGCCAGCTATTCCTGGGGCCCGGTGGCCAACAAGCCGGGCCGTGGACCATAGGTTTGGGACCCCTGTTCTATTCCATTCCATTCCATTCTTCTATTCCTGCACTGTTCTGCTTCTATTCTAATTCTAATTCTAATTCTAATTCTAATTCTAATTCTAATTCTAATTCTAATTCTAATTCTAATTCTAATTCTAATTCTAATTCTAATTCTAATTCTCTGCTCTGCTCCAAAGTGCAAATTGTAGAGACTTGCTAACCAGCACAACACCTGGCATAATAGCTTTGCTAAAAAGCCTAACCCTCATCTTCATGAAAAACAGTCCAAGAACAGAGACAAAGGCATACCACAATATACTGTTGAAGCAACAGCAGCCAGGAACACATTCTTTGAAATAGATACACAAATGTATTTGCGGCACTAACTGCTGAGAGTATCCTTCACTGCAAAAAGGGACAGTCCCCTTCTCAAATTAGAGCTTGTGATGGCTAAACCCAAGAGGAGAAAGTCTGTTGTCATCTGGACTTCTGTGAGATCAGGCTCAAATTGTCCTACTTTGGATACATTGTGGGAAGATGTTGCTCTCTGGAGAAAGCTCTGATGCTGGGAAAGGTGGAAGGAAAGGAAGAAAAAGAGGACGAGCAGCAAGATGGAGGGACTCAGTTACAGTGGCAATGAATGCACCATTGGAAGTCCTGAAGGACCAGGTTAGGGACAGATCATCATGGAGAAAACCTATTTATGTGGTTGAAAATGACTTGACATAATCAATCAATCGTTCAATCAATCAATGAACATTAAAGTCTATACTCCTAGAATATCCCTAAAAACGCAATGGTAGAAGATAAGACATTCAATAGCAAACTGAAGACGAGGCTTGATACAGCATCAAGAGATGAAGGCATGCTATTAACAGGTGATTGGATTGTCAAAATGGTAGAAACAGAGAACCTGGAATTCTAGAAAAATGTGTGTTGTTCATTCAGTGAGCAATATCAGAAGCAAACAGACTACATAATAGAAAACTGACGTTAGAAAAAAATGGAATCTGGTCTCCGGGACATACCCACACACAGAGAGCCTGAATTACTGGTATCAAAATAAAAGAGTTGTGCCAGCAAGATTCGACCTGGAGGACATAAAGGCAGAATATAACACTGATGTAAAGAACAGATCCAGCAGATCTAATTTATGAGAAGAAGAAAGAAATAAGAGACCGAGGAAGCGGTGGGGGGGGAGTATCCAAATTTCAAAGATGAAAAGATCCAAGAAGCAACAGGCGTGTATTTATGATGGTTGCAATGGCCTGGAAGTCAAGACCTCACCATTTGTTTTTTATACAATATTTTATTAAGTTTTATAAGATTAGGGGAGGGATAGGGTCAATATAGGTATTGGGGTTCAGGGTGGGGTTGGGATAGGGGTAGGTCCAACGATGGGGTTGCCCCCAATAACATTTCCAAGCTTTAGCAAGCAGACTATTGTCCAGGTACATATATTACAGTAATTAATGTAATAGTAAATAGCTGTAGTCAATAAGAGTAACACTAATCATAAAGAACATCAATTAATCGGTGAATATCATTCATCTTATTAAATATCACAGCCATTGCTCGCTAGTTCGTTTTGCTAACCATTGGTAAAATTTTCCCCATGTTTTAAAATAGACTTCTTTCTCTTTAATCTCTAAGGTTAGTTTATCCATTTCTGCACATTCTAAAGTTTTCCTGATTATGATCTCATCAGATGGTATATTTTCATTTTTCCAATATTGGGCAAATGCTATTTATGTAATAAATATGTAATATTAAATATGTAATATGTAATATTAAATACTCATTCTCTTTCCCATACTAGGGTCCTAATATTCCTAACAAAAACAGTTCTGGCTTAAATTCTATCTGTATTTTAGTCATCTTTTTCAACCATGTATGAATCTTAAACCAGAATTTTTTCACACTGGGACATACCCACTACATATGGGACATACATACCCACACTGGGACATACCCACTACCTGGCCTGGGAGTTAAGACCTCACCATTTGTGACCTTCCCACCAGCTTCCCACAAGCAAAGTCAATGGAGGTAGCCAGCTTCGCTTAATCATCACTCAATTCGCTTAACATTTGCAGTGATTCGCTTAACAACCGTGGCAAAAAAAACCATATTGTAAAATCGGTTGCAACTTGCTTAACAACCGCCTTGCTTAGTCGCCAAAATTCTCTTCCCAATTGTGATCGTTAAGTCGAGGACTACCTGTATCTGGATAATGCTAGGTTGGAGAAGACTGCCAGCGACAATGCGGAATAAAACGGATCGATCGTCTGATCTGACTTCTTGACACCTTAATGTCCTTGCTAAGAAAAGGCCCATCTCTGACACAGTCACTCTTCTGTTCTGATTACTGTCCGGCTGTTTGCTTAGGAATTCCACCAAAGCTCTTCGACGGCCTGTGGATTTATCCACAAGCATTAAAAGAAACTCTCTCTTTTTCCCTCCAGTTATCCATTTTTATTCCCTTAAACTGCTCGGATTTCTACTTTCTAAAGCCCCCTGCTTTTCACTTAAGCTATCCATACTTTTCCAGCTTCCTGTCTGAAAGCCATCGATTGATTGGTGTATCTGTTATGTGCTTTCAGAGTCGTTCTTAAAAGCTGGCCGATGCCAATCGACACAGGCAAAGCAATCCAGAAGAGATGGCCTGGGCATGTAAGGAACTTTTTTGCTTTTTATATATACCGTGTTTCCCCGAAAATAAGACACAAACCGGAAAATAAGCCCTAGCCTGATTTTTCAGGATGCTCGTAATATAAGCCCCACTCCAAAATTAAGCCCCAGACAAGATCGTCAGCCAGATGGACGCATTTAGTACTGTGTTTCCCCCAAAATAAGACCTACCTGGAAAATAAGCCCTGATGCATCTTTTGGAGCAAGAAGACCCGATCTTATTTTCAGGGAAAGACTGTGTACATATATATATATAATTTAAAAAAGCCTTTTGCCTTACATCCCAGAATTTTTAGTGGGGTTTTAAAAGCAATTTTAAAAATTAATAAGGCCAAATTTAATATTTCATCTTAACTTGGTTTTAATGATAGTTTTTGGGGTATTGTTGTAGTTGTTTTTATCAGGCTGTCAGCCGCCCTGAGTCCGCAAGGAGAAGGGCGGGGTATAAATTCAAATAATAAATAAATAAATAAATAAATTCTTTATTTTTATCTTATTGACTTTAATATATATATATATGGGGTTTTTTTTTGTTTTTGTTTTTGAGTTTGGTGCACCCTGTCGGCCCAAATATGGGAGAAAGGAATCTTTTGCCTGTATCAGCTCAAACTAGAGCTATCCACAGGCAGCATTTGCAACTGCCCAGGTTTGAATCTCAGAAGGGTATGTCTGGTTGAAAAGAACTAAAAAGTTCGAAATAGCTATTCCAGTTCTCCCTTAATTCTTTGTCAGCAATCCAAATTTTGAAAAATATATATATGTATATATCTGCAAGTATTCTAAAAAATTGAGTCCCAGGTATATTCATTTATAAAAAGGTATGCTAAAACACTGATCTCCGGGACAAAAAAGTTTTATTAAAATACTAAGCTTTCGTTTAGCAACTGCTAACGTTTTCAAAGTGTAGGCTGACATTGGGGCGGCTTCGCCTTTATAGTCCCTCCAGAAGCGGTGAATGCTCCAACACTGGAGGTTTTTAAGAAGAGACTGGACAGCCATTTGTCTGAAATGGTATAGGGTTTCCTGCCTGAGCAGGGGGTTGGACTAGATGACCTCCAAGGTCCCTTCCAACTTTATTATTATTATTATTATTATTATTATGATTATGATTATGATTATTAAGTGCTGGTAATTTAGTCATTGAACGCGTTATAGGTCCGTTCGTGTGTGTGTGTGTGTGTGTGTATAATATATAATTTATTATATATTTAATACATAATTTATCCTAGGAAGTCCACAAACCCCAGAACAAAGAGTTAAAACTTTGAAGAAAGAGGAAGGAAAACAGGGATGGGGTGAAAAAGGTGGCACTGGGACAGTGTGACTATAAAATGAAACAACATACAGGTAGTCCTCAACTTACAACCATTCGTTTAGTGACTGTTCCAAGTTACCACGGCCCTGAAAAAAATGGCTTATGACCGTTTTTCACAGTGGCGGTTGCAGCATTCCCACGGTCACGTGATCAAAATTTGGACCCTTAGCAACGGATTCATATTTATGACGGTTGTAGTGTCCTGGGGTCCTGGGGTCATTTTTTGCGACCTTCTGACAAGCAAAGTCAATGGGGAAATCAGATTCATTTAACAACCATTATTAATTTGTAGTTCAGGGTTGAACTGTAGGGTTGTTGGGGCTTTCTGAGCTTGTGGACCAAAGATGCTTCGGAATTGAAGAAGCTTCTCAGATGAAAAGCCAAACATTTTCAAGGAAAAACAAAGGAAGTCCCAGTTTCCTTTTGAAAAAGCACCTTTAGGACTTAGCTATACAGTGAGTAGTGGTCATTTCTATTACAAGATTAAGCTAATTGTCAAAAGCTAAAATCAAAGTTTCTTTTTTTTCTCTTCATTTCAAACACAAATGATGTTTCTACTTACGTGAAATCTTTGGTCCACCTCATAGTTGATCTGCTTTCTGAAATCCTTGCAAGCCAAAATGTAAGCCGCGATGGCATGAGGAGCAAAAGGAGGGAGAGAGGCAAAACAAAACTAGCAATTAGTCCATCAATTAAAAGTGAATTAAGGGGGGGAAAAAATCACAAGCCATACAAGATTGTCATCATTTTCAATTTTCAATTATTTTTCTTCAGAGAACGTTATCGAAAAACCATTGCGTAGCTGGAGACCAATAAAACAAAATCAGCTGTGAACACGATTTGATATTTTTTTTCCTTCCATTAAAATCAGTCTGATTTGCCATGCAAGCTATCGAAACGAAAAAAACGCCAGCTGAAGGAGATCAAGAGGTCTAAATACCTTTTGGGCCACCAGGAAAGTAAGACGTCGAATTCCATGGTCAATCAGGATAGATTTCTGCAAAAATGGAAAGAAGCATGAGAAAGTATGTTGGGAAAGGCGGTCAGCAAAATGAAAACTTGTAAAAAAAATAAATCTCTGTACTGTAAAGCTTTTTCGTTTGCAATTATACCTGTCAAGGGCAGAAAATCAGGAGTCCAGGCCGTTCAAATGAATGCATAGGTTTATTTCATGCTACTACTCTCTACAAGAATCTGAACTACTGACAGTCAAAGCAAATTGGGGGTAGATAAGAGTCAAAGGAATTCAAGGTGGGCTGGACTTAAATCTCGTGGGCGTGAAAGGACTTGAGACTGATGATGCGTTTGACCCCTCCCTCGGACTCAGCCTGGTCATCCCCTACATCAGGGGTCCTTAAACCGTGGGTCGTGGCCCACTACTGGGCCCGGGCTATTGGCCACTAGGCCGCATGAATGGCTGGCCAATGCATTGCCGTGAACATCAGGGGTGTTCACAGCCCCGCTTGCGTGAGCGTCACAGGCGTCCACAGTCTCACTCGCACAAGTGTCACGGATGTTTGCGGTCTCACTCATGCAGGTGTTTGCAGCCCAACTCGCACAAGTGTCACAGCCCCACTAGCCCCACAAAACCATCCCTTCTTTTCCCCCTCTCCCCCAGCTCAGGGCCAACCTTCCTGCAAAAGGTTGGGGAACTCTGTCCTACATCACTTGCTATTGTAAGTGAAATTTTATTTACAGTCCTGGAACCATACGTGGGAATTGCTTTCTAGCCTGGTGCCTTAACCATTAAAATCAGGGGTCCCCAACCCCCAGTCCGTGGACCGCATGCCAGCAACCAGTCCGCACAAACAAGCAAAGCCCCATCCATGGGATGCAGGCAGTACACAAAACCACACACTCTCCAGTCTGTGGAAAAGCCTTTCTCCACGGAACTAGTCCCTGGTGCCAGAAAGGTTGGGGATCTCTGCATTAGACTAAGGAGACTTTCACATACATATAGACCCAAGTACAATGGTGGGATTTAGCCGGTTCGCACCACTTCGGCAGAACCAATAGCTATTTTTTTTGTTGCCCAAGCCCAGAATGGACTTCCGGAAAGGTGACTTGCAAGATGCTATTAGTGCAACCTTACAATAAAAGTAGTGTATAAAGTCATATAAATAATAGAATAACAGGGTTAGAAGGGATTTTTGGAGGTCTTCTAATCTAGTCCAGCCCTCTGCTCAGGCAGGAGACCCTATGACATTTATAAAACCAACTCATGGCTGGTGCTTTTGTCTGGACTACATCAAAGCGGAATGGGACAACTGGCCACGGGAGAACTCGCCGAGGGACAAATTCAACAGTTCAATATAATTATTTAAAATCATTTAAAAATTATTTCAATTTTTGCCATTCACATTTCGTTCTGACCCTTCTTTTGCACCCTTTCTTTAATGCTTCTATTCCACCATGGCTTTGATTTTAGGGTAACTCTTGTCCCGCAATGAGTTGTGGTGAGTTGTCCGTGGTGAGTCGGCCGCGGTGAGTTGTCGTAGACCCCATCAAAGGGTCTCCACCTCCACCTCACCCAAAACCAGAAATGGGGGGGGGGGAAAGAGAGACTTCAGTAGGAAGAGAAAACAAGACAAAGCTTCATGTCCTCGGCTTCAGGATCCAATTCCTTTTTTCCAGAAGAGAAAGTTTTACTATGGTAAACGCCCTCTGAAAATGAGCATTTTTGCCGTCAAGGGGGGGAAAAAGCGGGGGGAAATAACTTTAATAATGAGGTTGAGATTTTTCTTTTTTAAAAAAAGAAGGTTATTGCTTTTAAAATTCCACAAGTGTCAGACAATAAGTATATAGCAACGGGATTCTGATTACATTGTAATAATACAGACCTCCTAGCGACTCAACAGCTATTACGGCACTATTAGGTACCAACACCTGGAGGAACTCTATTTCCACTGTCTGTTTCAATCACCTCCACCAGTCATTTACAAGTATACGATCCTAATTTCTATCAAATACACACACACACACACACATACACACTCACACGTACAAACGCGCAGGGGGGAATCCTGTTGGGACATGCTGAGAGTGGAAATTTATTTGGGCAATTTGGATCAAGCTATTTGATAGTTTAATGCACAACGCCTTCTCTCTTCCAGACACACTTAAAACACACACACACACACACATACACACCCCACAAGCCCGTTCATGCAAATGAAAGAAAACCTAGCTTAACAGTTCATTATATGGGAAGAAATGAAATCTAGGGATTCTTGAGGGTGGAGCGAGAGAGATC